AACAGAATTTGGTTAAATGTGTGCCAAAGTTATATGTATAGTCAAACACCTCTTTCTACTGTACCGTGTATTAAGTTATGTACCAAGATGTGTACTTACTTATATTTAACTGATATGCTGATAAGAAACTAATGTTATTGACTGTACTACGTCAAATGAAAAAAAGGTTTAAGGCTGGTATATTTTTTCATTACATTATTAACTATAAACTATGACTTTATAGCTTACTTAAACTGCACTTGAACTCAGGTTAACCATTTCAGAATATTATTGAAAAAAAACAAAAAACAAATTTACTACAAATGTTTAAAGTGAATGATTAGTTAAGTTTTTTTGCAGTGTTTGTAATAAACTTATTACAGCTTGCAATACAGAAAAAAAAAATTAAACAAAATTTCCCTTAATAATGAAACACATGGAAAACATTATATCAGTTAATAAAATGTTTAATGTAAATATAAAATTTAACATTTCTTTTTACTAAAAAAACAACAACAAAAAAAACATTCAAGCATGAAAATGTCTAAAAACAATTTAAATATTCTAAATAATTTTTGATATCAAAATTCCGCATGCAAAGTGATAATGTGTAGAGTTAACATTCTTCATAATTCAAGTACTATGTGGGCTTTCGATTCCATACAAATCAAAATTTTCTAACATTTCTTTTCATTAAAAAAGTAAAATGGATTTTACTTGTTTATTTTCTTTAAACACAAATCTGCACAATGGGTTACTTGCACTGTGCCAACTGAAGGAATCAAGCCCAAACTCATTTAGCATTACAAACCCTTAAGCTTATAGCTAAACTACCAGGTATAGTTTCAAAACATAACTTCAAAGTGATAATACAATGAAACTATAACTTTACCATACCGTTTCGTTTAGAAAAAGGAAGGGGGAAAAAAAAAGGCAGCAAATATTTTAGAAGAAAATATATAACAACAATTTATGTTTATATAAACTCACAAAAAAACAAATAAACAAAAAAAGAGATCATGAACTTATTTTAACTCATTATAACCCAGATAATGTACCCACATCAAATTTGCAGGCAATAAATATTGCAGTAGAACCAACAAGTTGTAACGTTGACTTTGGAACAGGATTTTTCATGAGATAGTGATCAACAAGCTTTACTGCCAGGTATAATGTTTCATGATTCAGTTCAAAAGATTCTTGGACTTCTACCATCCAGTCAACCAGAATAGCCCTCATGGACTTTGACAGTTCAGGCTGCCTACTCAGATATTTGTCTGTGACGAACTTAAGCTAAGAAGAAAAAAATGCATTATAGAAACAAGTATACTAAATAAGTAAGATCTTAAAAAGGTTGTGATAAGTAAATGCAATAGCTTTATACAAAATAACTTTAATGATTAAACTATAGTACACATCTTGTCTTTCTTCAAATGAATTTCTTTAAATATAATGTATATCAACTCTTTTGCTGTATAGTTTGGATATATCGAAATAAACATTTAGACTCACTGACTGCAAAATTTGAATTTACCCCATGGATACCAAAAAAATATATCCCCCTGTACTTGAAACAATCACCAAACCTGTGTGCATGCTGCCATCTGCATTCTAGATGTTTATATGCCTCAGCTGACTGACCACGTGGTGACACTCGCTTTAACTTTCCATGTTTTGGAGCCAATTTTATTGCTTTATAGGCGAGTTACTTATGTGTTATGTTTGTTATACTTATCAGTGACTTTCAGGAATTATAGTATATATTCTCTTACACGTTAATATATGATAGAGGCTTTGAAATTCAATGAAATAAGACATTTCTATGTGGATAATTGACACTTTTTGGGAATCAGTCTGAAAATTCATTGTGCAGCGAAAGGTTTAATATTAATGGATTTCTTTATAAGTCCCTATATATATATATATATATATATATATATATACTAGTACTACGTAAGACTATATTACTTGTTATTATAACTAACTATACACGA